GACTCTGTGCGACCCCATAGACGGCAGCCCACCAGGCTCTGCCGTCCCTGGGATTCTCTAGGCAAGAACACTGGAGTGGGTTGCCATTTCCTTCTCCAATGCATGAAAGTGAGAAGTGAAAGTGAAGTCGCTCCATTGTGTCCGACTCTTAGCGACCCCATGGACTGCAGCCCACCAGGCTCCTCCGTCCATGGGATTTTCCAGACAAGAGTACTGGAGTGGGTTGCCATGGCCTTCTCCGTTACACCAGCCATAACCAATGTCTATTCAATTGCAACTATATTGCCCCAAACTGGAAGCAACCAAGATGTCCTTCAAAAGGTGAAAAGACAGACTTCCCTGGTGGTCCAGTGGCTAAGACTCCACACTCCCAATGCAGGGGGCCTGGGTTTGATCTCTGATCAGGGAACTAGATCTCATAAACCACAACTAAAGATCCCACATGTTGCAACTAAGACCTGGTGCAGCCAAATAAATGCGTAAAAATAAATATTTAAGAAATAATTTACTACTATCATTATAAAAAAAATTGGTGAATGGATGTAAAACTCATGTCCAACTCTCTGAGACCCCATAGACTGCAGCCCGCCAGGCTCCTCTGTGGATGGGGATTCTCCAGGTCAGAATATTAGTGTGGGTTGCCATGCCCTCCTCCAGGGGATCTTCCTGACCCAAGGATCGAACTGGGGTCTCCTGCAGATTGTTTACCATGAATGGATAAACTGTGGTGTACCCATACCATGGATGGTATGGATATAATTGGACTATTATTACAAGGGACTATTATTCCTTGATATAAAGAAATAAGCTATCAAGCCACCAAAAGACATGGAAGAATCTTAAATGCATGCTGCTGAGTGAAAGAAGCCAGTGTGAAAAAGATACATACATTGTGATTCCAACTGTATGACATTCCAAGAAAGGCAAAACTATGGAACTTAACCCAGGACTTAGAGGGGAGGTAGGGAGGGATTTTTAGGGCAGTAAAACTGTTGTATATACTATAACAGTAGATATATGTTACTATGCATTTGTTGCAACCCATACAGTGTCCAACACAAAGAGTGAACCCTAAGGTAAACTGTGGGCTTGAAGTAATAATATTGTATTGACATTGGCTCAATAATGATGCATCAATATGTAACAAATGTATCTAATGCAAGGTGTTAATAACAGGGGAAACTGTGTATTGTGAGGATATATGGGAACTCTTTGTACTTTCTGCTCATTTTTTCTGTAAACCTGACACTCCTCTATAAAAATAAAGTTCATGAGTTGAGGGAGGAGGGGGTGGGAGATGAGCCAGAGCCCAGCAAGTGGAAAGTGAGAGGACTGAAGGCTTGGTGGAAGGCACAGTAAGTACCAAAGCCTGGAGGGCAGGGGGAAGGTAATGTACTTGGTGTGTTTCAGAACCTGCAGGGAAACAAGAGCAGGGAAGGAACAGGGATGGGCTGGAGACAGCTGTCGGACCTCTCCGAGGGGGAGGACGACCCAGGGGCCATTTGAGCAGAGGTCTGCAATTGCCTGAGAATCACACAACCTGGGAAACAAATTCGCTTCTCTTCGACTTCCCCTCATTATCGTTTGGGGAAACTGAGGCCCAGAGAACGGAAAGTCAATGAGCAAAGCAATCAGCCCTTCAGGTAAGCTCACAAGATCTCATCAACACTTCCACCAAAGAAAAAGCATCTGCATGACTCTCGCAGTATCCCTGTGCGGGTAAGGCATTATTATGTTCTGTGGGCTCAGAGATGCAAAGCTACTTGTTCGAGGTCACACAGGGAATGGTCAGTGGCTAAGATGGACTTTCCACCATCACAGTGTCTGGCCGCAAGAAGCATGTTGGAGCTCAACTTGAAGTCACCAGCTGTGCCTGGGACTGGAAGCACCTCTGGGTGCCCCACAGCTGGCAAACAGGGTTTATCAACAAGTGCTTGCCTAATCCAAAATCTGATGAATCACAATGAGCTGGCATACCCCTGAGGCTCCTTCCAGCTAGGAGGATCCAGGACTGTGGACCCCAAAGGGGGTCTCTTGGCATCCGTGTGGTGGCAAGGCGGTCCTCCTGCAGTGGCCCTGGGCTTGGGGGGCGGGGGCGGTCCAGATGCTATCCGAGACAAAGTCTCCTGACCCCAGGGAAGGTTTTCAGGTCAGGAGCTGCCCGCACCCCTCCCCACCTGGCTGTGGGACTCTGATTATGGACACCTCCAAGCCTGAACTTGGGAGCTGGTATCAAAAGGCCAAGACTGGATACCAGCTCCAGGTTACACCATGAGATGCTCTCCCTCTGATGCCCACTTGGCTCCGGTTTCCCCCACATCTTGACTCACACATCTCCTCTTGGGTGAGGTTCAAAATTCCACACATTCTCTCTCTCCCCGTCTCACACACACTCACCACCTATCTCCGGCCCCTGCTTTCCCCCTAATAGTTGTTCGTTTGACATCTCCTCCCCACCCCCCATTACAGTGAAAGCCTCGAGGGCAGGGATTTGTCTGCCTGTTGGCAAATGTGTTCCCAGTGCTCACAGAGAACCAGCACGCAGTAACAGCAGGAGTGACAGTCCCTTCCTGGCAGGTCCTTGAGCATGGTGTGGGGCACCTAGGGGGCTGTGTTTAAGATGCTCCCAGGGGAGGTTTGTTGTCACTGGCCCCGCCGGTTCTGGGTCTGTGTTGTCAGATTCCTTGTCTTGAGTCTCCTCACTTACATGAGTCAGAAAAGGCACCAAGCCTGCGGACAGCTGTCAGACCTCAAGCCTCTCCCAGCACGTCCAGAACCTCAGTTTCCCCTCCCCGAAGGGCTTCCTTGAGACAGAGCGTCTCAAAAACTTAACACTTCTTGATGTCATCATGCAAGCAGAGTGGTGGGCCTAACAGTGGATCAGGGCTTGGTGGGTCCCAAGGAAATGAGCCGCCGAGTCTCTCCATCCATCAGGAGTCCAGGGAACACCACCCGGAGCTCGCCAGACCCATTACCCCCATCCATCAAGGATTCTGGGGACCCTTCTGTGACTGCGGGGCCCATCTCCCCGTCCGTCAGGGATTCCGCTCCATTCACAGTCTCGGATCCCCGATGCCATCCCCTGCTCCGGGTCTTCCCTGTCCTCGCGCGGGCGGGATCCCACCGGGGGACAGCCGGGATCCCTGAGCGTCACGCTGCTGTTGTGGAGCGTGTGTTGACGCCGTCGCCTAGGAGACGGGCGGGGGCGGGCCCGGGGGGTGGGGCGCGGCCTGGCTGCGCGCGCTAGGGGCCGAGCCGGCCGTTCAGGGCCCTGGCGGCCTCAGTGGCCACGGCCGCCGCCGCCCGCCGGCTTATATACCGCGGCTAAATTTAGGCTGCGCCCGGAGCTCGTCCCCATCCGGGACGCGTTTCCGCCGCCGCCGCCTTGGCCCGGCCCCCGCGCGCGCCGCGCCTATAAGGCTTGGGCGGGCCCGGCCGCGGCCCGCAGAGCCGTCCCCACCCGCCCGCGCCCCGACCAGCCCGGCTTCGGGCAGCCTCTCACCGGTGTCCCGAATCCGCGTCAGCCCCGGGTCCCAGCCATGGCGCTAAGCGAGCCCATCCTCCCGTCCTTCTCCACTTTCGCTAGCCCTTGCCGGGAGCGCGGCCTGCAGGAGGTGAGGGCGGCAGGGACCGCGGGCGGCGGGGGCGGCTGGCTCAGGGTAGCAGAACGTGGGCTGCAGGGTAGGAGAGCGCAGGCGGCAGGCACGGCGGGCTCAGGGTAATGGAAGGCGGGTAGCGGGCCGCGATTCCCGCCCCTCCGCGCGCTCACGCCCGCGCGTATCCCCTGTCACCCGCAGCGCTGGCCGCGCACCGAGCCCGAGGCAGGCGGCACCGACGACGACCTCAACAGCGTGTTGGACTTCATCCTGTCAGAGGTCTCCTCACGCCGCCTGCGTCTCCGCTGGAGCTGCTGGAGGCCAAGCCCAAGCGCGGCCGCCGGTCCTGGCCGCGGAAACGCACGGCCACGCACACCTGCAGCTACGCGGGCTGCGGCAAGACCTACACCAAGAGCTCGCACCTCAAGGCGCACCTGCGCACGCATACAGGTGGGCGGCGGGCACGGGCTGGGGACAGCTGCTAAGGCGCGCCAGAGGAGGGGCGTGCTTGGGAACCCCCAGAGGGCGTACCCCGAGGGTTGGGCAGGGGGCAAGGTCTTAGAAAGCCCCCTGGGGGCGTGGCTCGGGAGCCTGGGGCATGAGCGCGCCCCTAGGATCCTCCTGGGAGCGGGGATCGAGACTTTGGGCAGGGGTGCGCACTTAGGAAACCTAGGGGGACGCTGTGTCTGAGACTGTTGCGGAGCCCCCTGGGGGCGTGGCTCTAGACACCAGCAGCGGACAGGGTGCCCCTCGGACCCCCGGGGAGTGAGGATCGCGAGACCGGGAAGTGGGGGGATAATGTGCCTAGGATACCTACAGGGTCAAAAAGTAGCCGGGAGCACTTCTGGGAGCTGGTTAGGGGGTAGGATGGGCGCACCCGAGTAGCCGCTAAGCAGCGGGGTGAGTACCGGGAGTCTCCGGCAGAAGGGAAACTAAGACCCGCTCTCGCCCTCTCTCTGCAGGCGAGAAGCCCTACCACTGCAACTGGGAAGGCTGCGGCTGGAAGTTCGCGCGATCGGACGAGCTCACGCGCCACTACCGCAAGCACACGGGCCACCGGCCCTTCCAGTGCCACCTGTGCGACCGTGCCTTCTCGCGCTCCGACCACCTGGCGCTGCACATGAAGCGACACATGTAGCCCGGACGCCCCCCGCCCCCACCCGCGCGCGGCCGTGGCGGGTCCCACGCGCCGGGCACGGCCCCCTTCCAAACTGTGACTGGTATTTATTGGGCCCAGAGGACCGGGGCCGGGCACAGCGTGGCCACCGAGGGGGCGCCATTCCCCGCCCCGCCCCCCCACGATGCCCGACCCCCAGCAGAGACTGAAGGCCCGGTGGGAGAAGACCACGATCCTCCTTGACGAGTTTTGTTTTCAAAATGGTGCAATAATTAAGCGTCGTCTTCCCCCCGCCCCACCGGGTCTACACTAGAGGATCGAGGCTTGATGCCTTGTGAAAAATAACGCCTTAATTTGTACTGTGCAACCTTTTTTATAATATTGTACATAGAGACTGTGATATATTGTATTACTGTAAATAAGGAGACTACTGGGCATTTTGACAACCTAGTTGTTTTTAATAAGATTTTACTGTTGTTTTTTTTTTTATTAAAAAAAGTTTTGCATCGTTTGAAAAAAAATCACAGCCTGGTCCGGCCGCTTGGATAACTGGGGGCTTGGGACACTTGGAGTGAGGGGATGTGGGGACAGGCAGCTTAAGTAGAGGGCAGCCTGGCAGAGTCTGGGTGAGGGGGGTGCTGCCCCAGCTAGCACCCGGGGTTGCCAGTTGCAGCCCCCAGCTGCCAGGAACCTGTGGGTTTTTCTATAAATTTAAACACTGCATTTTAGGACTGAGGGAGTTATTTTAAGGTTGTTCCCTGAGCCATAAATTGCCTCCTTTTCCCTAGAGCTGGAGAAACTGTTTGCTGGTCTCACTGACGTGGCCTTCTCTAGGTTGAAAAAAGTCTTACCTCTTTTTGGAAGCTTCTGAGGTTTTAGCCAAACTTTTATAAAGCACAGACCTTTTCTTTTTTTGGAAGGGGTAAAATGCTGAGTTTCTGACCTGCATTGCCTTTCACTAGTCTTGCCTTTTAGCAGAATTTTTTTTTTTTAAAGATGAGTTCCCCATCCTGTTAGGAAAAAAAAAAAAAAAGAAATACATGTTTGAGGGTCATGGATGGTGAGTGTTCTTTTCCAGAGGAGAAAACAAGAGGCCCAGAGAGGTAGCTATGGAACAGTGATGTCAGGGTGTCAGCCTGGTCTGTCTGCCTCCCAAGGGTCTCCAGATCCCACTATAGTGATTTCTGTAACAAGCTACCTGCTGCTGATGTTGGAGGGTTAGAAGACCCTCCCCAGCAGCCCTTTGACAGAGTCACATCAGAGCCCCAACCTTGATGGTTGGAGTTGTCCACTCCAGAAGTCTATCTCGTGAGCAAGACAGGGATCCCCACACAGCACCCTGGATGCCTCGGATCAGGCAAGGAGGTACCGCTCCCTGCCAGGTTCCCCCTCCTCTTCCCCCTTCTCGGAGCCCTGGGTGGGTAACTATGGCCACTAACAATTGCACAAGTTGTTTGCAGAAAGTGAAAATAGCTTGTAAGCAGTGCCTGTTTTAAAAACACTCTTGCCCTGTTGCGACAGAGGCTGGGATTTCCTCCCTCCCTCCCTCTCTTCATCCTTCCTACCACCACCACCCCCCCTCCCCGCCTCCCCAGCAGCCCTGGAAACAGCTGAGAGTGTTTGGCAATCCACAAAAAGCAGAAATGGAAGATGACAATCTGATTCATCTTTCTTGAGTCAATAGCCTGGACCCACTTCCGCTAGCGATGCAGGGCATGCGAGTGTGCGTGTGTGAGCTTCTGTATCCTCTCTCTGCAGCTTTTGCAAAAAAAAAAAAAACGATTCCAGAGCAGAGCACTGGCCCCCTCCATCTCTGGAAACACCCCCTCTTTGCTCGGAGCTGGTTTCAGAGGCACTAGGAGTAGAAGAATGACTTGAAAAAGATTTTAAGTAATCTTTGGTAGGGTCCTCTGATCTTTCTCATTGACTTTTTGAACTTGGGGTAAAACCATTTTTCTGGCTTGAAAACACCTCCCAGAGGCCTCTGGCTCCAATGAGAGGCTACTTGTGAAGGGACTGATGCTGCTGAAGTTTCTGTTTCCTGAATACCTCCGACTGATACAATAGAAAGTGTCAGGCTCCTACACAGCTGTACCTTTCAGCAAGAGACACGGGCCCGCAAAGAGCCGGCTCACACTGATTAATGCAGAAACCCTCGCTTATTGTTTTCTCTGCCCCTCTCTGAAACCCAAAGCTTGACTTACGCCTAACATCTTCCAGATGAGCGGTTCTCAGCCAGTGGTAACCCGGTCTCAAGATATTTGGGGTTGCCACAACTGGGGGATGCTGCTTGCCTCGAGTGGGCGGGCGCCAGGGATGCTGCAGAAGCATTGTAGCAGGCATGAGGCAGCTCCCTCCACAGAGAGTCATTCGGTCCCAGGGTCATTTGTGTCACAATTGAAACGCTCAGGTACCTAAACCATCATCCTCATTCACCACTTTTATCAGCGAGGAGGGGGCTCCATCTCAGGGAGCAAGCTTCCATAACAGATGATGCTCCCCAGAGAAAAGTATGAGTAAAACTTCACTGCTGGGCACCGTCTCCATCCCTGTGAGAAGACACAGAACACTTTTCCTTCCTGGTGTCCACTTGAGAAAATACAAAGTATTTATTAAAGCAGGAAAAAAAAAACAAAACTTTTTCCCTTCATTCTATAACCCAGTTCCCGTCAAAGGTTTTTTGGAGAAAGGGATTGCTGGTCAGTGGTTGAGTTGTTTTCACATGGCTGTGACTATCACTGTATCTCTTATTTTTTTTTCCAGGAAAGATTATAACTTTTTCCATCTATTTTCCTCCATGATATGGTTTTATCATCATTTTAAATGGCTTCATAATATTCCATTTAGATGGGCCAAGAGTTGCTTATGCAAACAAGCACTGGGCGTCTGTGCATACATGCTGGGCCATATTTCAGATTGTCCCCCAGGGCTGAAAAAGATAATGGTTTTGGAGGGCTTTGGGTATTGGCCAAAATGCTCTCCGAAGAGTGACTCCAGTGATGGGGGATAGATATAGGAGCTATTTTTCTCGACCGAGTTTCCTGTATGTCAGGGAGGCCCAGGCATCCTGCAGAATGATGTGGTGTGAAATGGGGGCAGGGAGAGCCTTCAGAGGAGCAGGTGAGTCTCAGTATATGCCTGACTCAGCACCCTACCCCATCAGCCAAGCTGAGGTAGCACACAGACTCAGCCACACCCTACAGAATTTCAGGGAAACAGGTCAGTGATGAATGGCTCTCAGAGGCACCAGCACCAAGCAGCTGCCTGGACTCATGCTGAGCAGGTGTGACAAGCTCAGGGTTTCTCAACCCCATCACCATCAACATCGGGGCAGGATCGTTCTCAGTGGTGGGGGTGAGGTCAGTGTGTGGGACTTTCAAGTCTTTCTCCCCCCACCACTTCTTTTCATGTTTCTAGATATAGAAACAGACAGACAGATAGATGGATATGATGGATGGATAGATGACTGGATGGATGGATGGATATATAGATATGATGGATAGATATGATGGATGAATGTGGATGAATGCATGGATAGATGATAGATATGATAGATGGATGGATAAATAGATGATGGTTAGATATAATGAATGGATGGATGAATAGTTGAATATATGGATGGATAGATAGATAATGGATGGATATATATGATGAATGGATGGATGAATGGATAGATGGGTGGATATATAGATATGATAGATAGATATGATGGATGAATGTATGGATGGATAGATGATATGATGGATGGATAGATAGATGATGGTTAGATATGATGAATGGATGGATGGACAGATGAATAGATGGATGGATAGATAGATATAATGGATGGATGGATAGATGATAGATATGAAGGATGCATAGATAGCTGATCATCTTTCTCTCAATCTCTCTCCCTTTCCTTCTCTCCACCTCTGTCCCATTCTCTCTTTCTCTCTCTCTCAATCTGTCTCTCTCCTCCACTCATTCATTCAGCAAATACTCCCAGTGCCTCAGTCCTGAGCAGAGTTCTGGGGAAGCAGAAGTGACTCAGCCTCGCCTCATCACCCAGAGCCAGTATCCACAAGTGCTTGTTGAATGACTAAGGCAGTGAGAACTTAAGCTGAGCTCCTGGCTGGGGCAGGTGCTTTTATCCCTCGATACAAATTCTCTTTCAACCTTCCCACTAAGCTGTGGTGTGTGGGGGTAGAGAATGGCCACCCCCATTTTCCAAATGTGGATAGTGGGTGCCAAGAGAGGACCACTAGCCCCTAGCCCAGTGCAGGGGTAGCTGGTAGGGGCTGGGCTCAAACCCAGGTTGGCCCAATCTTAACGTCACAGCTCCTACCCACACCTGGAAACAGCTACATGCTAAACTGCATCAAACTCACCCTCCTCCTGCACACTACCTGGCAGGCCTGGAAGCCCCAGTGAGTCCTTTAGAGGCTTCCCTCTGAATATCCTGGAAAACTCATATTTCAGGAAAATCTTGGGCAAAGAAGAGCAGTCTCAGGAAACATAGTGTCTGGGGGAAGGGAGCCTAACTGGGTGGATGGAGTTCCCTGAGATGTTGCAATAAAAAGCAAAAGAAGGGAACTTCTCTGGTGGTCCAGTGGTTAAAAATCTGCCTGCCAATGCAGGAGTCATGAGTTCAATCCCTGATCTGGGAAGATCCCATGTGCCATGGGGCAACTAAACCCATGCCCTACAACTACTGAGCTTGCACTCTAAAGCCCGTGAGCTCCAACCACTGAGGCCTATGTGCCCTAGAGCCCATCCTCTGAAACAAGAGAAGCCACCACGATGAGTCCACACACGGCAACTAGAGGGTAGACCCTAGCTCACCGCAACTAGAGAAGGTTCACATGCCACAACAAAGGCCCAGTGCAGCCAGAACACAAACCAGCTAGGGCATTGGACCCAGTGTCTCCTCTACATGGACCACATATTGGGGACAATTTCGTCTCCCCAGGTTGTTATCATTCTAGAATAAATCCAAAGATTTCACTGTGGTCCATGGGGTCCCACCTCCTCCTGCCCAACTCTCTTTCATGCCTGCGTGCTCAGTCAGCCACACTGTCCTCCTCACTGTCACCAGACATGCTCCTCTTCAGTCCTGCCTCAGGGCCGTTGCACCCGCTGTTCTCTAGACCTGAAATGTTGGTCCCTGCATTCTTCCCATAGCCACTAGTAGCAGCCAAGCCAAGCTGTACTGGGGGAATCTTTGAGGCCTCAAAGGCAGACACCACCAGATCTTCAGGGGAAAGGCAGGAGGCCACCAGACAAGGGGCAGGGGCCCCACTGGCTCTCACCAGACACCAGGGGAAAGAAGCTGGCCCTGGAATCTCAAGTCCCAACACCTGCTTCTCGAGCGGAACTGAGGGAAAGCCCCTCAGAGGCATCCTCTCCCTGTCCTTGTTGAGGAGGAAACTGAGGCCCAGAGGTGTTTCCCAGAGTCATTCACTGGTGCTAGGACTCCCACTCTGAAGGTAGGGGTTTTCCCTTCACTGTGCACCTTCAGAAGGCCAGGTTCACTCTGGTTCAT